CCCTAGAACTGGCACAAGGCTATGGTAATCCGCAAAAGGAGGCAGAGCTCATCCACAGACAGTTGGCTTATGAGTAAATCAGGGCTTCCCAGCTACTGGTTTAGCACTTAATTGCTTTTGTTCATTTTTTAGAAAGACGGAAATGAGCAAAATTTGCAAGCATCATAGCACCCACTTTCAGGTTTTGCATGTTAATACAGTAACTTGATACAGTAACACCTCCCTCTCAATAAGGCGTTTCTGACATCCAAAAACTATTACAAATGTCTCTGAATGTCTACTTTATATAATATAGGTTCAATCTGAACATATTAAAGGATATTTTTAGAGCATATTTTTGTACTGTCTCAGATATGAGAAGAATTAAAGAGACTGAGTTAAAAATCCAGCACCTTTCTAAATTCCCACCACCTGTCAAGTCCTGAGAGGACACCCTCTGGGGAACAGATGGAACATAAACGTCTTGTAGCACATCACTCAATTCTACTTAATAACTTTCTCTAAAAACAGATAAGGAAATGCACATAATACAATCTCCCTTCATTCTCACTGGTGCATCAACTCTTCACACTCTAATCTAGAATAAAGAATATAAATTGAAGCCACTAAGTGTTATATCTGTAAATGCTTTGGCCTAAAGCATTCCAACACCTAAAAACTGAAATGCCATCAAATCACTTGAAATAACATTTTATCACATGTTTATACTATCAGGAAAAAAAATATCAATACTATCCAAATATATTCAGACATGTTTAAAGCCACACACTTAACTCAATATTAAGTCTATCCTATGATCACCCTGGGTGTATACATATTTGACACAGCTATATAAATAACTAAAAAATATTTTATTAATTAAACATAGGAAAAGATTTAAGAAAATATCTGAAGTCTCAGTAATTTTGATTTTGTTTTCTTGTATTTCATTCAAGTTCTTTTCTCAATGTACACAGACATACTTTACCTTCTTCTCTGAAAAATTAAATGTATCACATACTTTGACAAGCGTGTAGAAATCATATTCAAAACCATAATGGAATTCTGATTAACTACACGTGAAAGTCAAAATAATTAGGTTTCACAGATTTCAGACAATATGAATTCACATATTTTCTAGAATTTATTAATAGAGTCCCACTATTAATTATAACAAATTAAAAAATTTAAACTGTACAATCACCATAAAGCTAAAATTCTCACCTGTGAATTACAAGAACACCACAAAAATGTACTTGACACAAAGGTAAAAATACAAATTTTAAATTAGCTGTCAAAAATCCTAAAAATGTCTCCACTAAACCTTACTATTCCAAACTCCTGCTCAAGAACAAGACCTAGAAGTTCTTCCACCCAAAAGAATCTGAAGACTTAACAGAAAAACACATAAAAATATGCGAATATTTCACTTGTCCAGCATTTGAAAGAAGACGGTCCCCAAACTAATAAAAACAAAACAACTTCTCCGGTCTCCTACTAAGACTGCTATTTTCTCGAGTTTCTTCCTCCTCTATTAATCACTCACACAGTCACAGAAGAACTCGCACATTAAAGAAGCAAAGAACTGAGAGGCGCCGTTTGCAGCAGTTGACAGTGATCACAAGCTGTGAGCAGGGAAAGCACAGATGATGTATGTGGGCCAAGTTACCGCTCACAAGTAAGCCCAGAGTTCACCATTTCACTAGTCTGGTCACTACATGGGAAACATTATTTCATGGACGGAAAGGAAATCTGGTATATAAAGAGAAAAATAAAAGCAAACTAAACTAAATTTTCCATCTCTAAGACAGACTATACTTCCTCTACAATAATCGTCAGTGACCTTGTGGAAACATTCCTGCACATAATACAATCTCCCTTCATTCTCACTGGTGCATCAACTCTTCACACTCTAATCTAGAATAAAGAATATAAATTGAAGCCACTAAGTGTTATATCTGTAAATGCTTTGGCCTAAAGCATTCCAACACCTAAAAACTGAAATGCCATCAAATCACTTGAAATAACATTATATCACATGTTTATACTATCAGGAAAAAAAATATCAATACTATCCAAATATATTCAGACATGTTTAAAGCCACACACTTAACTCAATATTAAGTCTATCCTATGATCACCCTGGGTGTATACATATTTGACACAGCTATATAAATAACTAAAAAATATTTTATTAATTAAACATAGGAAAAGATTTAAGAAAATATCTGAAGTCTCAGTAATTTTGATTTTGTTTTCTTGTATTTCATTCAAGTTCTTTTCTCAATGTACACAGACATACTTTACCTTCTTCTCTGAAAAATTAAATGTATCACATACTTTGACAAGCGTGTAGAAATCATATTCAAAACCATAATGGAATTCTGATTAACTACACGTGAAAGTCAAAATAATTAGGTTTCACAGATTTCAGACAATATGAATTCACATATTTTCTAGAATTTATTAATAGAGTCCCACTATTAATTATAACAAATTAAAAAATTTAAACTGTACAATCACCATAAAGCTAAAATTCTCACCTGTGAATTACAAGAACACCACAAAAATGTACTTGACACAAAGGTAAAAATACAAATTTTAAATTAGCTGTCAAAAATCCTAAAAATGTCTCCACTAAACCTTACTATTCCAAACTCCTGCTCAAGAACAAGACCTAGAAGTTCTTCCACCCAAAAGAATCTGAAGACTTAACAGAAAAACACATAAAAATATGCGAATATTTCACTTGTCCAGCATTTGAAAGAAGACGGTCCCCAAACTAATAAAAACAAAACAACTTCTCCGGTCTCCTACTAAGACTGCTATTTTCTCGAGTTTCTTCCTCCTCTATTAATCACTCACACAGTCACAGAAGAACTCGCACATTAAAGAAGCAAAGAACTGAGAGGCGCCGTTTGCAGCAGTTGACAGTGATCACAAGCTGTGAGCAGGGAAAGCACAGATGATGTATGTGGGCCAAGTTACTGCTCACAAGTAAGCCCAGAGTTCACCATTTCACTAGTCTGGTCACTACATGGGAAACATTATTTCATGGACGGAAAGGAAATCTGGTATATAAAGAGAAAAATAAAAGCAAACTAAACTAAATTTTCCATCTCTAAGACAGACTATACTTCCTCTACAATAATCGTCAGTGACCTTGTGGAAACATTCCTGGGTTAAATAGGCAGAGCACATTTCTTCAGCAACTGCAACACTACTGCTCTCAGGGCATCCAGCACGTGTCTACTGGGCTTAGTAGATTCGCACACAAACACTATTTGTTTGTGCCATTTGTACAAAATCAACAAAAATCTTTTAAAAAAATTTGCCCTTATATGCAATTTTAAAACAATAAAGATTTTTGAACCGATAGATCTTTACATCTTCTATAATGAGAAATACCAGAATACACTCTCCACCTTAAGTAATTCTTCCAGAGAGCAAATTTAACCTGACCTCCCTAAATGGCTACAGATTTGACACACCATTTAGAAGCCTGAAAGGAAATACTGACTTATTTATTCTCTAAAGCAGTGCTGCTCAACAGAAATACAACATGAGCCACATATGTAATTTTAAATTGTCTAGTAACCATATTAAAACAGGAAAAAAGAAATTAATTTTAAAACATTTTACATACCAAAATAACCAAAACCCAACATATCAAAATATTAGTATTTCAACATGCAATAAATATTTTTTGAAAATCAGTAAAATATTTTGCATTCTTCATATTGTTTTAAAAATCTGATGTGTATTTTACACTTACAGAACATCTCATTTTGGACTACAACCAAAGTGGTCAATAGCCACAAGTGGTTAGTGGCTACATTACTGGATAGCGCAGCTATCTCCTAAGCACTACTTTGATATCTGACATACTACTATCTGTTTAAAATTAGCTTACATTCATGTTTCCATTTTGAATTGAAATGTCTGATTACAAATATTAAAAAAAGCAAATAAACATCAGATCACCTTATCAGAGGACCCAGTTAACATACATAATAAGAAGCGGTTGGATTATATCCTATCTCAAGTAGATTTCAGAAATATGTCTGATCACCACTAGTGAACACAACTTGTAGAAAAATATGGGTAAGACAAGAAACACTTTCACATCAAACCATAACACTGCCTTATTTCTAGTAGCCTCTCTGGTGTCTGAGTACATATCTCCATACAAATTATCTACATGACAGTTTTTCTAAGTTTGATGAATTTTGGAAGTCATACAGTCACAGATGAAAAACTGAGCGCTAAGAGGAATTTAAATAATTGAAATATTATTTAATTGCAAACCAGTTACTTTAACGCACCTTATATACCAACCAACAATCTTAAATCATCCTACATGAGTTTCACTGAAATGACTTCTTCCCACAAATTCCAACGCATTCACTGTCTTTTATACTCATATTTCTAATACCAAAAATACTAAGAATTTTCCCAAGTAATTAAACCATTTGATTAAAATGTAAATAATTCCAACAATGCCTTCTCTAGAAAACAGCTAAAACCATTAGCTTAGCACATAAACTCTGTCCTAAAAGCAAGTTACTGAATAAATCAAACAGAAACAACTATACTCCTGTTTACTGCATTTACGTTTTTGTAACACCACATTCAGCAATTTCTAAATTTGGAAGGTCAGTTCAGATTGCACACAAGTAGTAACTTTAAAGCTTAGCAAAATCTTAGAAGTTTCTGCAATATACTTCTGAATAAACACACTACAGAACTATTACAACAGTGTAAAAATCAGCACCATTCATACTAATCCCAGCAAGAAGCAAAAATCAATATATTAAGTTCAAAATGTATGATACATTCTAAAAAGGTTTTTTCCTCCCAATTTAATTAATTCACCCAAGACAATTTTTGTTCAATCCACTTGCAAAGCTGAAAAGAAGCAAATGTAGCCTCTTCTGCAGCACAAACATCCAACAACGATACATGAATCTCTGGATATTTTTCCACAATTTGAAATTAAAACAACAAAATTTGTTTCTTACCTGCAGTTAGGAGGAGGATCAAGGGTTATTTCAGCTAGCTCCTTCTGAATTCTGTTAGTGAAATGAGAACAGACAAAAAGGATTTGAGAGTCTACAGAATAACCGGGGAATTACACTGCCCTCTACCACCATGCAGTTAAATGCAAGGCTGGCTTCGCCTTCAGTAATGCTAACATGGCTGCTTCCTCTTTGTTCTCAGAGGCATAACCCAAATCCCTTAACAGAAACTTTGCAGCTTTTTTTCTCACTTGCTACTGTAAATAAGTAAGACATTCACACCTGATTTGAGAACTAGCCCTCCACTTGTACTCAGAAAAGGATGTAAAATATATTTCAAAGCACTTTTTACCAAAGAAATTCTCTTTTCAAGCTTATATGCAAATGAGACAAGAAGGGAGGAGGGACAGCACTAGAATATTTGACAATGACTCCAAGACACTTTACCAAGGTAAAAATTAACAAGCTACCGCAAGTGCACATTAATAATTTCGACAATATTTTGTGTCAGAAAAAAGTTTAAAATTTACAAATATTTTTACCAGTGAAAAACTTTCAAAGAATTCTGGCATTCTTATTTAAGTAAATCTATTTTCCCTGACCTTAAGTACAGCACTTAAATTTAATAAATTTGGGAGAAAAGATAGACAGCCTTGAGCTAAGAGGAAAAAGAGCAGTTCTTATTTTATTCAAATTTACAATGCTTTCAAAACTTAAGATATGCTTAATGTGTTCATCAACAAGATTGTAAGAAACTGAGAAGGATTTTAAATTATCTCATGGACTGCTGCTATTTCATAAAATACTCTAGTTATTAACACTCGATTATTGATACAATAGAGGTGAAACTCCACAGGCCATCACTACAGAACACCAACATTTGATCAGCTTTTATGTTTTTTTTTTTTGGTTGAGATCAACAAAAATCAATATAACGTTGATATCGGCTAGTGCTATAGGAACACCTGATGTGTAATTACTAAAATTCACAGGTATGCCACTTACTACCATTGATTGGAGCCCCACTGACAGCATCTTTTTTTCACTATCACAGAAATATAAATCAACAGAAAACAAATGATCTTTCACTTATATCCAACAAAATATGCTTCTCCTGCTGTTGAGTATTAACATGTCAAGCATATCCACAAACTTTAGAGTGAAGAGGCATAATGGCAAACTTCTCAATCACCAAGTGCCACCTCACATGTAAACGGCTACTTTTCAGTTTTACCTACTTTCACAACGACACGGAGGTATGACCATAGCTTAATTAGAAGAAGTAAAACCTGAAATGAATGACTTAAAGTCATGCTATTGAAAACTGAAAACAGACTTGAAGTACAATTTTAAAATCTGCCTTCAAATACAGCCCAGGCCTTGAGTTTACAAATTTTCTAGCAAACATGACCACTTCTGATCATGAAGAGAGGCACTGATCTCTAGAAGTGTCACCTTCAATGACGATGAATATAACTCATAAAAAGACAACAAACATCCTCAAATGTCCCAGCTCATCTGGGATCACCAAATTTTCCTTGCCAACTCCTTAAACTGTCAGATGTTACTCCAATCTCTACTCAAGGACACGCTCTCTGAAGTTACCAAAGCCCAGAACAAGTTTGCTTAAAAGTCTAATTCTAGGGAGGTGGCTTCTATACCACCTAAAAAGAATGACAACTCATTCAAGTCCAAGCAAAACTGAGAGCAAAGGAAATATTTTTGAACTATGGCTACTGATGTTAAATCAACAGAAGCATCCATCTGGAAGACAACCTGACAACGTGCTTAATCCTTTTTTTTGACACATTACCTTTTAGCACTAGTGGATAATTTAGCAGTGGTTTTGCTAGAGAGTTTGGTGTTTTTCTTCTGCTGGGTGGCAGAAGGTTTTCTTTCTTCTTGTTCTTCAGGCTCTGGAGCGGCTGGGTCTCGCTGGTCTGCATCTGAACTACCGCTGCTGGTGCTGGGGCTCTCATCATCGGACCTCTGCCGATCACTGGACATCTTGGTGAAGTTATTTCTTGGAAAACTTTTAAAGAAAACACGGGGAAAGAAAGGAGATGTAAGTCTAAGAAATAAACCAATAGCATTTTCTTCTCTCCATCGTCACCTAAAATCGTGTTTTAATGAAAACGCTTCAGAAGTGTTCACACTTATCTCATGGTACAGCAAGGTTATAGGGGAGGTGATGTGTCTCACAACGGCAGCGTTCAGGGATTTACCGAACTCAAGTTAGAAAACCCACTCACATTTTTTTCCATCCCTTGGACAATCTATCAATTGTCTACTTTCTCAGAAGGCATTAAACAGATTTGCCAGGGAACTTAGGGAACGAGCATTAATAACATATGACACGCTGTAAATAACAGATCTCGCAGAAAAATGTTAAAAAGTCACTAATAACGTCTAAATATTTACACACCGACATTGGTCAAAGCTACCAAATTCCTTTTCCGAGAGGAAAACATACCCTGCTAATCGCCCATATGCTTATTTAAGGTGATGATTCCTCCTCTGTGCACGTAAGCCTTTAAATACAACACTTAGGAATTTAAAAAATCAACTAACAAGCTGTTCTGGCCACGGCCAGCAGCGAAGATTCATCCGGCCAAGACCAAGCTGCCACCCTGGGAAAAGCAGAATTCAAACTGCACCTTCTGCAAAGCTCCCCATGCCATCAAGGTTCCTCGCTCAATTTTTACATCACGGACCGACATTTTGTCCAAAATAACAAAAAAAAAAAATTTTTTTTCCCCCCCGGAGGAAAAACAAACAAACAAAGCCTCAAGAAGTGCAACAAATTTCCGCGCCCGCCGAGGCGAGCCGCGGCCGGCGGCGGCCACGCAGCTCGGCGGCCCTTTGTGGGGAGGGCCGCGCGGGGGCCGCGGGCAGCGCTCGCCGCGCCGGGCGCCAAGTNCCCTTCACCCGGGGGGCGCACGCGTCCGCCCGCGCGCGGCCCGGACAAAGAGCGCGGCGGGGACCCGGCGGACTGGCCCCTGCCGCCCTTGGCCGCGGAGCCCTTGCCGGAGAAGGCGGGGGCGCGGGCGCCGTCTCGCGGGGCCGCTGTGCCGCGGGGTGGCTTCCGGCCTGAGCCCGCCTCCGGAGCGAGGCTGCCCATTGGACTACCCGCCCCACAGGCCGGAGCTGGGGTCATGCCCGGGCTGGCCCACTCCCCTCTGCCAAGGCACGGGCCAGCGTAGTCCACGGGGTCCCCATGCCTGGGCAAGGGCCTGGGTCGCGTGGCCGGTAGTCCCCCACTGCCCTGGAAGACTGGAGACTAATGGGTGTCGTTGACGAGGCCAGGTACGGAGGCAGAGGATAGCTGCCACCTGCCCCTCCTGAGAGCTGGGGGGGCAAGATGAAGTCTTGGACACTGAGGGGAGAAAAAAGGATTTCGAGACCAGGTGGCCAGCCTCTGTTTCTCTTTGGCCCTCGGCCTTCCAAAGAGAGGTCCTATGATGCTTTCAAAACTTAAAAATTCAAAACGATTACAGTGAAGGGGGACGTGAGACAGGTTCATACTTGACACTTTGCTGGATGCTCTTCTGATGTGCATACTAGATAGCAGTTCTGGAGAGCGATATCCCTAAGTGGTACTGGGTCAGAATGTCCACACAGAAAAGCTGCAGATGGGGGATAGTGAAGGTTAGTTTTGTTCTGCTATTCTCAGTCTCCAGGTGGACTCCAGTTTTTGCCCCAGGGAGCAAAGTGGCCAGACGTCCAGAAACTTCCTGTTTGCAGCTCAGACCTTCTCCAGCTCCTGAGAACTTGTTCCAGTGATGGAGCCCCAAAGGAATTTGTGGATTCCTCTCCCACAAGTGTCAGGGGCAGGGGTGCTGGGAGAATGTGGAGTTCACAGAGAATGGCAGAGTCATAACAGATGAAATAGAATTAAAGGAAAAAAAGAAAAGAAGGCTGAGTGAGCCAATATACTTATTTGTCCTCCAAATAGAAAAGTTTTGGTAAAGGATTGCTTACAATTCTAATGAGTAAGTTACATTTCTGTGATTTTTCCTAAGACACAATCATTCAGTGAACATTTTGCAGGTCTATGCCCCAGGTGCTGGATGCAAAATTCAGTCCTTCAACTACCTCGTAACTAAAGCCACATCTCTCTACTCTGTGTTAGAAGCCACCAATCTAGAAGGGGAACAGGTATTAAAGTGCACCAGGTTGGTTAGAAGGAAGGACACCAGTCAGAACGAATATGAAGTCTCAAATGTTGAAGACAGCATAGTGTGTGTGTTGACAAGCAGTTTGATTGAGCTGTATCAAAGTGTACTTGTGGAAAGAGCTTGTTAGTGAAAATACCAGCAGAAGGTTCTCCCAACTTTTACACTGTGCTAGCAAAAGCCAACCAATTTGGAGTTTGGATTTTTCTCTGTTAGGAATGTGAAGTTGTGAAAGGAAAGCTATATATTAAAAAAAAAAAAACCTGATTGTTTTAGGAAATCTAATATCACAGAAGTAGACTGAAGGCCCAAAGGCCATGGACTGATGAGGTTTGGGTGGAGCTGGGAGATTGGGAGATAAAGATATTGAGTGATGTTTTGGTAGCATTTTCCATGATAGAAGAAACAATAATGAACTGAAAAGGAAGGCAACTAGATTCTAATTGAATTTTACCAAATTCACGTGACCTCAGGCAAGTTACACTTTCCAGTTTAATCTTTCTCCTATGTAGAAGTGTAAATCCTCTCTTGGCTCAAAAATCTCATGATTCTTCAATGTGTTTGAAGTCATGGAGTTCCATGCGATATTCACACAACAGAATACTTAAGAACTACCGAATGCTAAGAAATTCAAGTGAAATACAGGCGCTGCCCTTACTGAGCTCAATGTATAGTGGGATAGCCAGAGTATAGTGGGATAGCCAGAGATGTAGACTACAGAATGAGAAGTGCTGTGTTAAAGGAGTGAACAGAATGAGTGATGTATTAATAATTATCAATTAAAAATTAGTCATGGAATAAATTATTACTTAAACTTGAGGTTATGTATGTGTCAAAAAAAGTAACAACGAACTGGACCTGAAAGGATCATTAAGTAATAATATAACCAGTGCTCCAGGAAAATTATCTAGGACATAATAAGTGTTCGATAAATAGTACTCAGGAAATGGCAACCCACTCCAGTATTCTTGCTTGGAGAATCCCATGGACAGAGGAGCCTGGCGGGCTACAGTCCATGGGGTCACAAAGAGTCAGGCAGCAACTGAGCATGTGAAGCAACTGAGCATGCATGCATGCACAAAATTGTTGAAGTCACTAGAAAGAAAATGAATGGTTCTGTCGAGGTTAGGGACATTAGGGGCATGCCCACACAATAGTAGTTAACCAGCTGCTTTTACCCTTGAAAATAGGAACCATGTCTTATATGCATTCGTGTTGGCATACAGAGTTTGCCTAATGCAAATTATTCTGTAAAGTATGCAATAAAAATTTTCCCGTATGACCCCTCAAAATAGTATGGCAGAGTAGACTTCAGCTACTGCAAGAAGATCGTTCCCTTTTGGTTTCCTCTTTTTCTCTTCTTGGTATGAGGTCCTGGTAGCGTCTAGCTCACAGCTCTGAGAAAGTCAGAAGTAAGAGGAAAGATACAAAATTCAGTATTGCCATGGAGACCTCTTCCTCTCTTCCTCTCACAAATGCCATGACCTAAAGAAACTGGTCATTACAAGGAGAGACAAGGCAGGTTCCAGAATCCTTTTGACTTCCCTGATTTGGGAATTACTTTTTCCCATGCTTTTCAATAGGTCTCAGTGTTATACATGTACATAAGTGTGCATATAACCAAGAATTCTATAGGAATACACATTTGATTTGCTTAAGTTTCTGAAGTGAGTAATTATATAAACTATAGAGGGGCCACAGATCTTTTTAAATCACCCACCACGGCCAACAACATACCTTATACACAATGGAGGTAGAATACTTGTTACTTTGCTTTGTTGCTTTCATTTCTTTCCTTCCACACAACAACCTTTCTCAACATCCATTCCTTTTACCCTTCTTTTTTTTAGGCTATTTCAGATGTTATCCAGTTATGTGCATCCATTTGTCCTCTGGCTATAAAATTATCTTTCTCTATCCATTGAAACAAAAACAGATTTTGGTTTATTAGGAAGTCATTTGTTGGCTCAGGCTTAGTTTAAGAAGCCAAGATTGCCACTGGTTTCTCGGTGTCTCTGGACCTCCAGAGTCCAGTGCTCTGACTGACGTCTACTGTGCCTCCATGGTGTCGTGTGTACAAAATCTGCCACGTGCCAGGCCCTGGGCTGGAACTGGGAATGGGAAGATGGCTTAAACCTCTATTTGACTTCAGGGCTCAAAGCTCAGTGATCACTTTCTGCTTTTCTCCTCTGACATAAGTCTGAGGGAGCGTATATACCAAAAAGGGCTATGTCTTTATTCCATAAAGAGCTTGTACACATGAAATGAAGGCATAAGAACCTTAATAAGACAAAAGTCA